ATCAATCAAACAAAACAAAATAAGAACATATCACAATAAAACATATCATAAAAATAGTACCATGCTGAGCAATAGAGCACAGAGTTCAGAGGGCCCTGAGTTTGCACAAAATTCCTAGATAGAGTTATGAGAAGGTGCAAAATTCAAAAAGGCAGGGCTGGGAGAATCATGTCCTTGGGTGTAAAAATATCAGATTATATAAAGCAGAGGGCCATGATAAAGTGCTGAAACTCGGGTAACATAGACCCCAGCTTTCTCCCTATATTTCCTTCCACGCATTTTAACAGAAACAGCATACAAGCACATTATTTAGTTTATATCCAACCTTCATTGTAGGACTGAGGATAATTAAATAATGGATACAGATTAAAACATGGTTAAGTTAAAAGCCAATTAAACAACCTATGCTAAAACACTATTCTATTAAGAAGCAATTTAAAATCGCATCAATAAAAAGTACATCAGCACTTTCTAGTTTAATCCCAAACAGTACAAACATTAAAGGACTTGTGTTATGACTCTGTATCTGTATTCAAAAATAAGAGCAAGATCATTTACTAGTTTTCTGAAAAACACCCAGTTGGCCAATGAGACAGACTCCACAGATACATCAACGTGTGGTAAATGGCAGCACAGCAGAGAAAATGAGCAAATTAGAAAAATTCTGCACCAAATACAAAGTTGCTTTTTGTAATGTTCTATAACTGAAAATAATACTTGAAATCCAGTCCCTACTCAACAGAAAACTCACTGGAGCCCCTTCCACACATCTGAGTAAAACCCCACATATTCTGCTTTGAACTGAAATATATGGCAGTGTGGACTCAGATAACCCAGTTCAAAGCAGATATTGTGGGATTTTCTGTCTTGATATTCTGGGTTATATGGCTGTGTGGAAGGGCCCTGGGTGAACTTGGGTTAGCTCCTTTAACCCACGGTCCTCTTCGTCACAGTTTGACCACCAGGATACAACAAGGATAGGAGATAAAGCCAAGGAAACTACTATTGGGATATCTTCGGGATTTAAAAAAAATTCAACCTGTGGTCGGTTAAACCCATGGATGCAGAATCCATGGCTATGTAAGGTTGACTGTACATGCGTGGAAGGAAATATTTTACCACTCTTCTGACATGGATGCTGCCAGGTGGTCTCTTTGTAAGCAGAGGCATTTCCCATCAGCCACAGCCAGACTGGTCAATAATAAGATAATGGGATGGTCCAACAACGGGAGGACACGGGGCACAGGTTCCCCACACTGAGATAATCATAATGTGTGAGCAATTCTACATTTGGATCTAGAGAGCCACATTATGTTGGTAGAAGAACTCTAATAAATGAGCGCTAGCAAACGAAATAAAATTCATTTCATCCTCACAGCAGTAAGTCAATATTCTACTAATAAATTAATCCTAATAATAGACTGTCTTGAAGAACTTCTACCAATAAATTAATCCTAATAGTACATCTCCTTGAAGACTTTCTTGCAAGTCGGATTTCTTTTTAAAACTATGTGAATCACACAAGCATAAAAGCAAGGTGGTTTGAAAATACACTTAAGCAAAAACAACCTTATTGTGTACTAGGTGCTTCGTCAACATTTGCTTCAGTTTGCTGTTTCTTACAAGCACTCATATGCTTTGCACAAAGCAATGTACTGCTGATAATGTTATGACATGTTAAGCACACACTAGGGGGTGCTGCTGTTGTATTTATGTAAGTTTTTTTTTAAAGAACCCAGGTTCTGAACATTCATCTATAGCAGAGGTGTCAATCTCACGTTCACCAGAGAGCCACATCAGCCTTATGGTTGCGTTGAAAGGGCTATTTGTAATTTTAAGACTGTATAAATGTAACTATGTTGCCCTGGCATTAAAAGTCTTGCGAGACACATAAAATGACATGGAGGGAAGGATTTGGCCCATGGGCTTTGTGTTTGACATGTATGATCTATAATGTATTTTTAATGTACAGTATCCCCAGTGACATCAAACACATTGGTTTGAGGAAGAGAATGATATAAGTGTGAAATACTTTATTTAACCAATAATACAGCAGAAATAATCTGCCCAATTAAAATAATGAACACACAGACAACCAACTAGGATGCAAAATTATCGCTTTGTCACACCAATGGTATGAAATGTGTTCAGGTGAAGGAGATGGAGGGCGAGATGAAGCTGCTGTTGTGAAATCATATGGTCTCGTTCACAGAATTTTACAGGAATAATAGATGAGTTTTATAGTGTTTCATTTGCAATTTTCCTAATTTTGTTTTCAATTGTGAAGGAGAAAAAGTTGAAATAGATGTATTGGCACCATTGTGGGATGGCCATTTAGAAGCACCAGGGCCCTCAAAATATGAGGTCCAAAGGCTTTGCGTTTAAATAAATTGGCCATTTATTACGAATGGCTAAAACAGAACTTGTACCATAAGACTCCTGCTGGCTGCACTATAAGACAAAATGAGCCCAAGTCTCAGGCTGGATATAAACTGCCCTATCTCCCAGGATCTGATACAAGATCATCTGCTTATTCCACATTATCTGGAAGTGTAGACTCATATAATCCAGTTCAAGGCAGGTAATCTGGGATCAGATCCTGAGATATAGGGCAGTGTAGATCCAGCCTCCGGTGGCACATGCCTAATCTGTCCTGCTGTTTGCACATGCTGTGGAATACAGTCTTCTATTGTTGCTGTTGAAATAAAAAGTATTCATTCCAGATTGTTTTTTTTATGTAAACAAAGGGAAAGATCTTCATCTTGTTCTTGATTTCAGGCAGCAGAAGGCCAAGAGTTGCTCCTTGAGTGAACTGGAGTTGCTTCAGAACTGGAAATAAGTTATTGTAAGGTAAGCTGGGACCATGAAAGAGATGCTGGTAAACTCTCTGCATTCCAGGGTATTTGTTTCCAGGACAAAGAAAGGTGATGAAAACATTTTGCCATGTTTTGAATATATGTCTATTGTTACTAAGTAAGGCTATATACTATATCCTCTCTATGGCCCAAGCCAGGCACTCCCAATCACCTATGCTCAAAGCAAAGTATAACAAAGAATCAGGTTCTTGGGATATTTGTAATTTTGATTTAAGGAATCACATAATTTTGAAGATTGGGAAGAGTTGCTGTAGGACAATGGTTCCCCAGGTGTTTTGGCCCATAACTCACAGAAATCCCAGCCAGTTTACCAACTGTTAGCATTTCTGGGAGTGAAGGCCAAAACATCTGAGGACCCACAGGTTGAGAACTACTGCTTAACTTTTCTGTCTTGTGCCCTGTTTCCAATAGCAGGGAAACAGATCCTCCTCATGTAAGATGTAATTTGCTTAAGAAAGGTGAAGAGACCAAGGCCGCATCCTCACTGTTGAATTAATGCTGTTTGACACTACCTTAACTGCCATGGCTCAATTCTATGGAGTCTTGGGATCTGAAGTTTGGTGAATCACCAGTACTTTTTGGAAAAGAAAGCTAAAGACTGTGCAAAACTGCAACTTCTATGGTTCCATAGCATTGAGATTTGGCAGTTAAAGCAGTGTTGAGCATGGATTGAGTATCCCTTATTGGGAATTCATAAACACTCTGCTGTCCACATATATGACTGTAACCATGAAAAATTTGCCTTATGATTCCTCATAAAGCAAATTTAACTTTTATTTAATGCACAAAATTATTAAAATTGCATATAAAATTACTTTCAAGCTAAGTCTACAAGGTGCATATAAAACAAGTGAATGTTATCTGTTTAGGCTTGGGCCCCATCTCCAAGACATCTCATTATGTAATAGGACAATATTCCGATTTAAAAAAACAAAACCAAAATGTAGACAGGCCTTTCTGTCTAACTTTTGCGAGCTGTTTGTTTTACCTTGTGTGCGCGCGCACAGACACACACACACACAACAGGTATACTACTGAAAGGCTGAACCATCACTCACCTGCTTAGGAAAGAAATGCTCACTCCAAAATAATTAATTAAATGCAGTTGTTTCTTGTAAGGTTTTTTTTTCCAGAGAGTGAAAGTCTGGAGTTCCCTGCCCTGAAAAGTCCCAGGTAGGGAATTTAAGGCCCCTGAAATGCTAACCCAAGACATCTCTTTAAGAGTTTGTGATGAGAAGTTAAAAGGTGAAACCAAAAGCATGGAACAACCTGCAGTAACCTAGAGGTCAGCCCTGAAGCTTGTGTATCGTTTTGTTGTTGCTGCTGTTTTAAAATCAGTTTTGCTATAGTTGATGAATAGCATCGCCCCTTCTTTTTTCTTGCACACTGAATCTTCAAGAGAACAGAAGCTGCATATTGATCCATGGGCATTGAGCCAATCTGTGCTGATTTGCCCTCTAAATAATTTTGCTATTCGAGCGATCTTTACAGCAAGATTTAGTTTTTGGTATTGTATAATAAAAGGACCCTTATTTGAGTTTTCAAAACTTTTCCTTTTATGTAGATGGAACAAGATACCAAAAACTGTATATTTTAGAATGTGGGCCTGTCATAAAGAAACAAATGTGTACATCATGTAATTTATGCATGTAGTCAATATGCTACTTTTATGTAAAAATACATGGCTCAGTTAACTGAAATCGATACTTTCATTTGGAATTTAAGTTGAACACAAACTTTTTCACAGCTACTTCCCAACTGTCATAAATTATTGCTGTTTGGAAAATCCAGCCACATAAATGCATAGATGTACATATTTTTCATTGCAGTCCTCATCAAAAGGGTTGATTAAACAAGCAAATGTTCAACAAGATATCAAAGCAAAAAAGTAGTGATAATGCCATCCAACATACATATTCATGCTACAAGTGTTCCATTAAGGATCCACTTTTTGATAGAACATCATCTAATTGATCTTCAGGAAACTCAGTACCAACAAGAACAGCAGAATCAACTCAGCATGAGTCACCATAGAGTTTACTTTTTGTATTTTGCCTGCTCAATGCACATTATATTTACTCTGTTCAAAAAAAGGAGGCATTTGCCCTAGGAAGTTAACCGTACCTGAGTTGTCCCCATAATGTCTGAGTCTCGTGCACGTTGAAGGCATTCACAAGAAGCAGCAGAAGGTGAACTTCTGGTAGTTACATTCACACTTCGGGGATGAGAAACCCTAAGATGAGGAATGAATAGAAATGGAAAAAAGAAAACAATTTCATAGCAAAAGGTTAGAAGCACCCGACCCCCACCCCTTTGCAAAAGAAAAAAGATAAATGCATATGGTATTTATATAGGGGTAAAGAGCAAGTCAAAGCAAATTAATAGTAAAGAAAAAATGGTCCCACAGAGCATTTCTTTCAACCAAGGGCAGCAATGGAACTGAAGCAAATAAGTATAGAATTGCAAGCTGCATGTTATGCAAATGTTGGATACAAGGATTATGGATCTGATCCATTGCTTCTGGTCATTGTTATGCAAAACAAATGTAAATAGTTTTTAATCTAGCAAAAAAGGAAATCTCAAATGTTGCAAATATAGTTTGGATTAGAGAGTATCAGATCAATGTCTTTTTCACTGTGGGGTGAGCTGGCAGTGATGGGAGACTCAATTTCCACTATTTATCCGGATCTCCACATAGCCTCTTGATGTCCATTTCAGTCTGGAAAGTGCCTGACTTCTGTATTCAAAGATCAGAGGTATGGTGCAGTCTTTACTAAAGCTATAGAAATGATTACATATATGATGCCCAAGCAAAGTGAGCAACATTGCAACTACAGTTTCAATTTAAGTACAGCTGTATATCTATAGACTCTAAACAAGGAGAGGCAGAATATATTTTCCTACAAATGTGGCTAGGCTTCAACTCCCATCAGTCCTAACCTGCAGAGCCAATTGTAAAGATAGACTGAAGCCAAATAACATATTCATGCTACATGTTTTCCATGTGCTCCTACCATGACTGTCAAGAAAACAAAGATGTATAACATTAATTCAACCTTGCATACTGTCGCAAAAAAAATCAAAAGCATATTCAAGTTGGACTGATACTTCCAACTCTTGGGCTCCTATCATTCACCATGTCCTTTGACCTTTAAGATCACTTCTCAGTTCTAGTACTTGGGTCTAAAGATCACCACTGTATCTGACCAATAAAGTCAATTGGTCATTGACTTTAGGATGTCACAGTCCAAGTTTCTCTCCTGATAATGAAGTGGAGTCCACAACATGCAAGTGCAGAGAAGAGAAAACCACACACCACCTACTACAATGCAACCTGAGCCCTGCCACATGCACAATGGAGGACCTTCTTAGAGCAACACCAGAGGCACTCCAAAGTGGGCAGTTCTGGTCAAAGGACATTTACACAATGACAAGTTTTAAAACTTTGTTTGTGTTTTTAAATACATTTAACTGTACCCTCTTCTTGCTTCTGGTATGATAAATAAATAAATCCTGATAACAAGGGTATAGTTTAACCAAACACACCCAGGATATGCCAAAAACCTATTTTACTTAGGTAAAGAACTAAAACATAAAATCATCCCAAGGATTTACTACAGAACAGAAAAATAGCACAGAGCAGAAGTAATACAAACAAAGTGACATGTTCCAAAGGTACAGACTGTAGTCAGGGGTTTCCAAAGCCAAGTCAGACAAGCTAGGTTAAACTGAAGTTCACAGATCAAAGGTACAAAACAGAATTCAAGACCATAAGTCAAGCCAGGAAATCAGTCCAGAGTTCAGATTCCCAGGGATAATGAAGTACAAAACAGCATACAGCAGATTTCAAGGCAGATATCAAGAACACGGTGTGGATATTGAGATCCAATCCAGAAATAACAACCAATATACACATCCCATAATTCAACATTACTGTTTCCCAAAGGAATAACTCTTCCAGACCTCTTTTTGTAGAGAGATTCCCAGCTGCAGATCATCAGCAGGCCATCAGCAATAATCTCTGCAACCTGTGTGGCAGAGATTCACCCCTTCCAGGCACTTAGCAGCAGCTGAACCAAACCCACCAAATTGCTAGTCATAGCATAGGGTAGTAATGCATTACCAATCTTCCCAGTTAATTATGAAATGAAAATATCCAGACAGAGATGTAGAAAATAAAGAAGTGAAGATTTGTTATATAATAGAGATACATAATAAAGATCCAGCCTTATGCTGGCACCACACATCAGTATTGGACAACCAGCTCAGATCTCTTCCATTCTCCTCTTCCTAACTATTCCTATCCAACTCTACTTTCAATTGAACCAATCTTTATTTATTTTTTTCTGGCTTCAGCTCACTGCTGAACAGACAAGCTTCTAGCTCAGCGTTTCTCAACCAAGAGGGTGTCAAGGGGGGTGTCAGAGAGGTCGCCAAAGACAATCAGAAAACACAGTATTTTCTATTGGTCATGTGGGTTCTGTGTGGGAAGTTTGGCCCAATTCTGTCTTTAGTGGGGTTCAAAATAATCTTTGATTGTAGACGAACTATAAATCCCAGCAACTACAACTCCCAAATATCAAGGTCTATTTTCCCAAACTCCACCAGTGTTCACATTTAGGCATAATGAGTATTCATGCCAAGTTTGGTCCAGATCCATCATTGTTTGAGTCCACAGTGCTCTCTGGATGTAGGTGAACTACAGCGCCAAAACTCAAGGTCAATACCCACCAAACCCTTCCAGCATTTTCTGTTGGTCATGGGAGTTCTGTGTGCCAAGTTTGGTTCAATTCCATCGTTGGTGGAATTCAGAATGCTCTCTGATTATAGGTTAACTATAAATCCCAGCAACTACAACTCTCAAATGGCAAAATCAATCCCCCCAACCACAACAGTATTCAAATTTGGGCGTATTGGGTAATTGTGCCAAATTTGGTCCTGCGAATGAAAATACATCCTGCATATCGGATATTTACATCATCATTCATAACAGTAGCTAAATTACAGTTATGAACAAAAATAATTTTATGGTTGAGGGCCACCACAACATCATGAACTGTATTAAGGGGTTGCAGCATTAGGAAGGTTGAGAAACACTGTTCTACCTTATACACCTTCTTTCACAGATACCTCTCAGAGCATTTCTACAGCTCTTCACTTCACACACAAATAAAACAAGGAACAAAAATGTTAGTTATTAAACCATAGCGGCATGAAATGAAAAATCTTTGGCTGCTGAAAAGACTAGTCGTAAAGGAACATGTTCGTGTTAACCCCTGTTTTGCAGTTCTATCTAAAGTCACTTGACATTGCTGGCAATTCAGTAACTAAGCAAGATCCAGGCAGGCAAAAGAGGAGGCAATGCAATACCAATATACCAATACCAATATCAATATACCAATATCAATATCAACGCAATACCAATATCAATGCAATACCAATATACCAATATCAATATCAATGCAATACCAACCTTTCTCCCAGCCCCAAAGTTAAGTTGTAAAGTAATAAAGGTGTAGTTTTATAAGGTGTTTAACCTTCTTTGTCAAAGAATGCTGGTACCTCACCTAAACTACAAATCCCTGGAATCTATAGTATTGAGCCATGCCAATTAAAGTGGTGCCAAGCTGCAATAATTTGACAGTGTAAATGAACCCCAAGTTCAGATCTGGTCAGCTTCAACCAGAGCATCATAAAATTACATTTTGGGACCATGACTCCCCAAATCATGACGGTATCATGCTCACTGGCCATTCTAGCACAGGAATTCTGGGAGCCTTCTTCCACAAAAGCAACTTTCCTAAGATTTCTATCCCCAAACAATTAAACTCCCACATATAACCAGCAGCGTTTTCAAGGTGGTTAAGGTTTCAACACAGCAGTGATGCCCTCGTAATAAAGACCTCTGGTTATCACATAACTAAAATAAAAGTTAATTACCATCAAGAAGATGTTGTATATATTATTTTCATATTACATTTTAGAATTCAGGTAGATTTTCTGTCCCGATAGCACACACTTTAATTAAAATTGCAAGGCAGGATTTTTATATAGCACACAAGGTGCTTGTAACATATTTTTAAGAAGTATTCCTAGCATCTGAAAATCAATTACTAATGATTCAGCAGATAAAACCCCTGAAGGCAAGAAATAAGCAAAAATAGCATCTTACCACAAGGACTGCTGGGAGGTTACATTTCTTACAAGGCTGCTAACATGGAGGTTTCACCTTACAAATGTCAACTTTTAAAATTAATATATACTACTAGAAATATTCCACACGTTTTTTATCTAACTTTGAGAATTACATTAAAGGGGTATAAATAAGTATAAATAAGTAATATGGCATCAAATTGTTATGGCATCAAATTGTTTCCAATTTGTAAGCCGCCTTGAGTCGCCTTTGGGTTTGAGAAAGGCAGGATAGAAATATTGTAAATAAATAATTCAGTCAATGCATGCAATGACTGGCTTATAACTACCTTCGTCTACTTGTATGGTTCTGACATAATGCAAAAATAGTGTGGCTTTTTTAACATTATAAAATCTTAACTGTTACTCTCCAAAATTTACCTGGAAAAATGTATATTAGGTTAAACAGAATTAGCAAATGTGTGGTTGTATCTAATATTATAAGCATTTCTGAAAATAAAAGCAGAATCCTATTTATTAGTCTCAACTAAAAAACACCCCTTTCATCAATTATTGAAAGGTAAGTCAATGCATAAGTTAATATCATTTGCCCTAGTTTGTTTCTAGGAAACTCAAAAGTATTCCTTAATTTTGCCCAATCAAAAATGGGATAATTGCCAGATATCACCGTGCATCATTGAACCCACTGAGCCCCCGGTGGCGCAGTGGGTTAAACACCTGTCCCGGCAGGACTGAAGACCGACAGGTCGCAGGTTCGAATCCGGGGGGAGGCGGATGAGCTCCCTCTATCAACTCCAGCTCCTCATGCGGGCACATGAGAGAAGCCTCCCACAAGGATGATAAAAACATCAAATCATCCAGGTGTCCCCTGAGCAACGTTCTTGCAGATGGCCAATTCTCTCACACCAGAAGCGACTTGCAGTTTCTCAAGTCTCTCCTGACACGACAAAAAACAAAACAAAACCATGCATTATGGAGACAGCCTTCCATTCAGCATTAATCTATTTTTGCTAGTAGATAAAAGTCCCCAATCACCCTCCCTATAACTTAAGAAATTGTATTGTTGGCCTATTGCTAATT